GTATGATTTAAATTAAAAGTACAATAAAATTAGAAAAAGAGAAAAATATATATTTTTTTATTTCATTTCTTTTTTTACCATACTACATTTTTTAGTTGTCTTATTTTATTTATTTAATTATTATTTTTTATTTATTTTATTGTCACTTATTCTTTTTTTTTGTATTGTGTTTCCAATTCTTATCATGTTATATTCCCAAAAAAAAAAGATGATTTTTTTATCATTTTCTTTTATTTTCACTTTTCTTAATTTTTATTTTGAATTATTTTCCATTCAAATTCATATATTAAATATTTTATTAGATTTAATATATATTATAATTATATAAATTTAACGGTAGTATCTATTGCCACTATTCACCAATTCTACCAGAAGAATTTAATGAAAACCAAAAACCAAATATACATAGATGGTATTAACACGAAAAAAAATTGATGGACATTTTAAACACGAGAAAAAGAGTGCACAAACCCTTAATTCATTTAAATTCACAGCCCCATTATTGAATAAAATTGTGGGTTTTATGGGAATATTTCATATGTATACTGGGAGCTTTCGCATCACTTTCCAATTATACTTAAAATATTGAGTACAATAAATGCGGGCAGATAAAATTCAGCCGACAATTTATTGACAACTTGGTGCATTTATGAGTTAGTGCACTGATTTTTTTGGGTTCAACGGTATGAGTATCTTCCAGTCAGCTTGTTTGTTAATGGAACCTAAATTTATCTCAAAATGATTTTAAGAGTACGTCTTTTGCATCGGTCTGGTGCGCATTCGAAGAAATTTATTGCTAGTTTCAAAATATAAATCTAAAAGGTCAAGAAATAGATCAAATTTTCTTAAACATCAGACTAATCCATTAAGTTACTTAGTTCATAGATGATAATTGACTAAAGTAGCCAGCCTAGTCCGATGTTGAAAGTTTTCAACTTCTAATAGACTCAGACATAAATTCAAATTAATTATACTTTTCGTATTCAAAGTTATTAATTTTTTTTATTTGAATATGTAAATCTTAATATTTACTATTGGAATATATTAAATTATAATTTTTTTTATTTGAATAGTTCTGTTAACTTTTGTTAAATTTATACAGATGTGGACATGTGGTCCCACTGTTTGACATGTGATTAAAAAAATTATTACATATTTGATACACAAACTTATCAATTTTTTTGTTTGAGTATATAAACTTTAATATTTAATTTTTGAGTGTATTAGTTTATAATTATTTTTTATTTTAGTAATTTTGCTAGCTCTAAACTGATGCGACCATAAATTACACATGTAGCAGGCCCATTATCAATCACAAGGCAACTAGATAGTTCATTGATGATAATTAACTAAAGTAGCCAGCCTAGCCACATATTGAAAATTTTCAACTTCTAATAGACTCAAACATTAACTGCACCAAAAACAAGAGAATTACATTTTTGGTGTTCAAAGTTGTTAATTTTTTCAATTTGAATATGTCTATTTTAGTATTTGCTATTTGAATATATTAAATTGTAATTTTTTTATTCAAGTAGTTCCGTTAACTTTTGTTAAATGTATGTTGATGTGGTCTTAATCGCATACGTGACACTGTCATGTGGATCCCATTGTTTGACATGTGGCAACAAAAAAAAAGAGTTTATTATATATTTGGTGTACAAACTTGTCCATTTTTTCTATTTAAGTATGTAAATTTTAATATTTACTATTTGAGTATATCAACTTTCAAATTTTTTTTTCTATTTTAGTATTTCGTTAACTTTAAACTAATGTATCCATAAACTACACATATAACATTGTCATATGGATCCATTATCAAATACAAGGAAACTAAAAAAAATATTAGATTCTTTGAATGATGTAGATACGATCAATTTATGTTTTGAAATCAAATAGGTTGATGGCTAGAGCTATAGAATGGTATAACTTATTCGTTGCAATGATTGTTAGAAATTACTAGTTCGATTCTATCTTCTTCTTTTTCTTCTTTTCTTCTATGTCATCCTCCAATATCAACAATTATAGTTTGCCCATTTGTCTTGATTTCTTTTTTAAGAAATAATTTGGTAATTGTTGTCGATTCTAATATGTGGTAATGGGTTTTAGTGTTAGGGGTGCTAGTGGATTTTTCGATGGTAGTGTACATGCGTTTACTATTGGTCGGCTATGGTAATTGTTGTTGTTGGTGCATAGTTATTGGGTTTACTTGCAAATTATGAGATGTGGTAAGGTGATTGGTGTTCTTTTTGGGAGATGAGAAGGTGAAATTGGAAATATTGGCAAATGTCTTAGAGTGAATGATGATTATTTGAAAGATGACAAGGTAAAATTTGATTTTAATTTGGAATGAATGGGGTGATCCGAATCTAAATTGGATCAAATGAGTTGATTAGATAAGTTTCTTACACACACACAAACAAACATGTGTTAATTTTTTTTTTTTGAATTTTTAATTTAGGTCCGATGGCGTGAAGTTTCTAGCAATATGTATAAAGATAGGGCTTATATGAACGTACCATGTGTGCGGTTAACGGACACATCGGCCTAGAGTTAATATAACCACTCAAATAGAAAAAAATTTGTTAGTTGGTAAACTCAAATAATAAGATTAAAGTTTACACACTCAAATAAAAAAAAGTTGACAATCATACATGCAATAAACTTTTTTTTATTGCCACATGTCAAATAATGGGGCTTACATGATAGTGTTGTGGGTACAATTTACGGTTACATCAATACAAAGTGAACGAAAGTTAATGGAGCCACTCAAAAAAAAAAAAAAAATTGTAACATGATATACACAAATAACAAATATTAAAGTTGACATACTTAAATAAAAAAAAAAAAATTGACAATTTTGTAAACCAAAAATATAATTAACGCTAAAAAAAAAAAAAAACCATGAAGGCATATGAATCCAGTGGACCTAATTAGCAACTTGGACTTATCTGGGTTAATTTGCTTTCAGGTCAACTGAAAGGCGGAGCATTTTAACTAACTTATTGATAGACACAGCACTGGACTAACATCCTTAGGAGTTTAGACAAGTACCGATGATTAATTAGGGGAATTAAATTTTACGTCATTAAACTTTATCATACCATTATATTATATGCTTTGAATATTTACTTTGTTTTTTCGCTCCTTAAGAGTTTTGGACATTTATTTTATACTAGTTCTAGGATGACATATCATTTTTTTATATATATTTAATATTAACTAGGTAATCTAATTAACATCACTTAGTTATATTATTATTATTACATTTTTAACTCCAAAACCTACTAATTTATATTATATTCCAACTCCTAGGTAACCTATTCTTATTCTTATTCCTATTCTTATAGGATAAGTTAATAATTTTTTTTTTTTTAAGAAAGGTAAAAATCCTAAATTGACCCCTATATATTTATGTCAATTATTCATTTCTACTTTCGTATTTTTAATTCGGTCAATTAACTCTAATATTCTATGAATTCGTTCATTTAAATTTTGTATTCTCTAAATCCTTTCAATTAATCTAATAGTTAATTTCTATCAAATCTCAATATTAATTATGCATACTAATTATATATCATTATTAAATATATTCTATTTATTGGATGTTTTTTTGTATATTATTGTACCATTTATGTCTCTAAATAAATTATCTAAAAATTTTTTTAAAAATGACTTTAATAAAAACTATAGGAAATAAAAAATCTATGATGAACCAGTACTTTTTACTATTTATTTTTTATATAACTAATTTTGCTTAGTTTTGTTTCATGATTGATTTTCATTCATTCTCTTTAAAAAGATTGAACCATTTTCTATCTTTAAGGAACTCAAAAAAAGTAACTACTTTTTATTATATTAAGGTGTCGTTTGGTTATAAGGAATGAAAGGTTCGGAATGAGAATATAAAAGTTGGAATGAAAATTAAGAAATCGGAATGGAAATTGTATTCCCATACTGTGTTTAGAATGCTAACGAGGAATTAGAATGCAATTTAAATTTTTTAATATCCGATCATTTATAAAAATATAAATAATGATTAAAAAATAATTTTATTAAACTATAGTAGTTGTAAAAATAATAAAAGTGATGGTTATTGTGATGGTGGTTATGGCGGTGGTGGTTCTTGTGGTGATGATGGTGGTAATACAAGTAGTTAATAGATAATAAATAAATAAAATATATTATTATTTTGAAAAAAAAATTCATTCATATTCCTTATTTTTATTCCCACATCTTATGTGACAATGAAATTGTGTGTAAATTTTCATGTCATTCTCATTCCACTCCTTTTAACCAAACAGACTATAACGTGGGAATATAACTTTCATCTTCATTCTCACCACTCTATTTCGATTACCAAACGAGTACCTAAGTCTATTTTTTTAAAAAAAAAAATTATTAAACAACACGTGTAGGTCACAACTGACATAGTTGCATGCATAGTTAATATAAAACTTGACATAATTTAATTATTGGATTAATTATACAAATAAAGGAAGCATAAATGTTAATTAAACAATTCAAAAAAACTTAATAATTAATTATCAAATTAAAAATAAAGAGATGGAAAAAAAATAATTGATACAAATAAATTTATAATTTTGCCTTAAGAAATTTAGTTAAATTCCGAAACAATTCTTTTGTAATATAAATTGGGGTAATTTTATACAAGTCTCCATTTAGGTTTGTTTTTGTTTTCTGTTTTGCCTGGCCAATGCTTGTTCTATCCCTTTTTGTCATCCGTATGACTGCACCTCTTCCTTGAAAAAAGACCATGATACCATCAAGATAACCAAGGAGGCTAACAGAGAAATTCTGAGAGGAAATAAGAGAAAAATAGTTCAACTCGTGTACCATATAAATCGAGAGAGACAACATCTATCACAAAAAATACATTGATCCACGCATCAATGAATAAGAAAAGCCTTTATCAAATCTCCAGGTAAAGGTTACACGGGCATATTATTGTTTAACTGGATTTTGTTCAGTTTCACCAACCCATGCATGTTAGTAGAAGCACAAACGCCATAGCCCAGCCAAGAATAGCCTACCAGTACAGGCCCAAGAAAGGAGCCGGAATTTTGCTTCAGAGTCAAGTTCAAGGTTGACCCTTTAATAGATCATGGCCAGACGATGTCGATGTTGCTGTGTCATCTCCAGATAATACAATAAAGATCACATTGTCTATTCTTTGAAAAAAAGATCATGACTAACAAATCTGAAAGTAGTGCGCCGGCGCAATGAGAACCGGGTTGACCGGGTCGCTAGCAGCATAAACGCCCTGTAGTCTTACTTTTGCCAGATCATGAAGGTGCTATGCCCAATCATGTTCGTGTGATGAGGTCATGCCCACAAATCAAACATCCGCCGCAGAATGACAATTTTGATTTGCGAAATGATAGTAATCAGCCGGCTATCAGGAAACAACACCACATCAATACAGACAATCTAGAGATAATTAATGGAAATACTTGAAAAGTTTAAAATATATTACTGTTCATATGATTGAAGGCATACAAGTATATTTAGTATGGCTGGTTATCCGTTTATCCAATAAATCAACTGTGAATATACTTAGCTATTTTTATATAATATTTAAATTTTTTTATGTGTTTTTAAAATTTTTAATTATATTCGATTTATTCATAAAAATATTTGAAATATTCAATCTATTATCGATTAGTTTTTCTGATAAAATAAAATATTTTTTTACTGAAATATCCCTAATTGAAAAAAAAAACTCTAGATTTAAAAATTAAAACATGTAAATTAAGTGACTTTAAATATTTTTATTTTTTTGCATTCAAATAAAGGATATTTCAGTTAATTTTTTTTTATAATTGAAAATTTTAATTGGAACAACAAATTAAATATTTTAAAATTTTTTAAAAATAAATAAAATATAATTAAAAAATTAATAATAAATAAAAGATTTTAAATATTACGCACGGACATGGAAATATATGTATCCATAAATCAACTCATTAATGGTACTAGCAAAATTAGGTATCATCGTCTGAGTTTTCTTTAATGTTAAGAATACAGGCTGTTGATTATACATGTGGAGTCCTTGTCTCGATGATTTGCACATTAATGGCACAGACACACTTTCTCCGAAATTATTTTAATTCTGCAGTGGTTGTTGGCAAAATATGACAAGTCATTTAGATCGTTTCTAGGGATCAGTAAGGGATTCGGTTTTGACTATGATCACCAGATTAGGAGATTAGGTAGTTGTCATGTCACTTCTAAAGAAGGTTTGTCTGCAGTTGTGTTTCGGATTATTTGGGTGAAAAAAAAATGTCATTTCACATTATTATTCGAATTATCTGGATTTTTTTCTTTATCTAAATCAAAACTTCTTTTCTTTAATCCGAAATTATTTTACTCCATCAAATAATTTGGGTAACCTAATTTTTTTACCCTCTATTCCATTATTTTTAATCTATTTTTTTATATTACCAGAATTACTTGAAAAAAATTGGAAAATTACCCAAATGACAGGTTCCTTGAATTTTTATTTTTTTATTTTTTAAATTTAGTAGTCCAATTAATTCAAATAATTCGGATTTTTTTGTTTTTAACAGTGCTCTCTCGAGGGTTTGATTACATTTTCAAGCATTTCTTGCTATGAAATCATTTGAATATTCCAACACATAATAAATAATAAATAATAACCTTTCGCTTTCTAATTGTATCTTTCCCTACCAATAAGTTTTCGCACACAATTGGTCTATTAAACAAAAGTCAATCACAGTCTCTTGATTTACTACATTAATGCGATTATAAACGATAAAATCCCAACACCGATAAACTAAAACTGTTTTGAACCAGTTTCATATATATATATATATATATATATATATATATATATATATAACTAATTGGTTATAAAATATTTAAAAACGTTTCTTACTTTTTTTTTAGTTTATAATTAAGTTTTTCGTTTTATTAATTAATCTTAAATCATATTAAAAACACACATAGAGTAATAAAACAACATTTATGATGTGTTTAGAGTTTTTAAAATATATATACTTGTTTTAGTAACTTCGTATATTTTTCATGTATGTTTAAAATTGATTAACAAGAATGAAAAATGTAATTGTAGACAAAAAAAGAGACTAAATAGAAAAAAAAATTAAGAATATTTTTTTAATCATTAATTTAGAATATTTTATAACCTACTATCTTATAAAAAGTTCGTATGATCTTTCTCAATTGTCCATGCTATCTTATAAGAAAAGTAAATATGTAAGTTGAATGCGACATCGTCAGTGATTCATCACGAAATCAGATTGCTAAAAATTATAAAATACAATTAGTGTGGAGTGAAGGTCAACTAATGGATAAGTTCTCTTTCACCATCACTGGATAGGTGATCTACACAAGTTACTTACGATTAATCCTATCATTTGGACTTACAAAACTCCTGAAAGCTCAGGGAATTATCAATAAGTAGCTAACTGGTACGTATTTTGACAGAGAAGTGATTAAGAGAGCATATTCTCTTCTGTTCTTCTCAGGGCCCATTGTATTCATAAAACAAAATCCATTCTGGTAGAGCAGAAAACAAGTAGGACTGAAGTACCCAATGACTGCTTTTTGTGGTCCTAAGTTTAATCAACTCAAGTGAGATAAATAAAAAAAATATTGGATGAAAAAATTCGAAGCAACTGAATTGATAGATTTCTTTTTTATTCACGGGTTGGAACGTTTTTAAGATTAGTTCGTGTAAAATAAAAAATAAAAAAAATAAATAATATGATATTAAAAACACATCTTTTATATTGATTTAATATATTTTTAAAAATACATTCTTTTTAGATATGATTCTGATACAACTCAGAAAATCTAGAATTGATATAATTTTAAAGAAGAGCTTTGGAATGAGATTAATGAAACCGCGTAATTAACAGGCATTTCGACAAAAGAAAAACAACCGGAAGTTCCTTAAAGCAGACATGTTAATTGGCACAAAGTCCGCAATGGATGGGACCCCCCTTGGTCCCCCTGATAAAAATCAATTGTGACAGCTTGGAACGATAACCTTCACAATCATTACGTGCTGAGGTGGCACAAGATTTTCTTAGACAACCAAACTTTTGGCAAAATAGGATCCCGGTACTATCATGTTAATACGTGTGGGTTTTCGAAAACCGACTAAACAATCGGCAGAAGATTCGGTATACAAAAGACTAATATTTTGATTTGTAAAAATAATAATTAATTAATTAAATAAAATAAGCGTAAGCAGTGAGTGGCATTAAAGAAAAGAAAGACAATGATAACAATGTATAAATCAAGTGAAGAAAAAATAAATTATTAAAATCTAAATAGATAAGAGTTCTAGACTATGTTTAATATGTGAGTGGGAGATTTTTAAGAAAAAGAGTTTAATTTTTTTTTACAATAAATAAAAAAAAATAGAATCTCTTAGGATAATGTGAGGTTGGTATATCAAAGATGGCTATTGACTATTAAAATCATGTTACATCATGTATATTTAGTCGAGTAAAATTTGTATTAAAAAAATTGGATTCTTTGGGTTAAATTATTTCAATTTGTTAGTAAAAACTAAAAAAATTAACAATTAAGTCTTATTTTAGTAAATACTATTCCCAGTCCATCAAACCAATTTTTTTAATGCATCTTAAAAATAAAACATGAACACTAATTCTATCATAATATCAATTTTCATCCTTACAAAGTTCCTTATGAAGTCTAAAGCCTTGTGTTGGATGAGATCCATTCTTAGCCCAACTCATTTGTTGTATACCTTAGACTCATATCAAAACTAAAGAAAATAACATGAATTAGCACATAATAAAATTAGTTAAATTACTTAATTAATTTTTGTGATCAAATTGAAAATATACATTTATCCCTTTATATAGACAACTTTATCAACAATGGTGTTCGGGCAATCCTATATGACGAGATAGAGAAAAATAAAGCTGAAAAAAATAACTTGACAATAAATTTCTAAAAACGGCTAGTCAAGTGATTATAGCCCTAATTAATTAAGTCGGTATGGTAAGATTTACAACTTTGGAGTTTATAACTCAACACTATTAAGTTGTAATGTCGAAAGAGTAATGTCGAAAGAATTAAACGAGTTATAAACAAGATAAAAACAACTATATCAAGAAACTGGTTATCAGATTTTTTAATTAAAATGTATTTTTATTGTAATAAAAATTTCATATTTTCCTACAAATGTAAAATTTTCTTTTTTCAATCATATCGAATTAGAATATCGGGACTAGTATAAAAAAAATAAATATCAATCATATATATTTTGTTAAAGATCCGCATGTATCATCTCATGTATATGCACTACAAGAAAACTAAAAATAATGACGGACGACAAACTATCGCTAAATAGCAAGTAAATAGAGATAAAATAGTGTCTATTTTATTTAGCGACGGAATAGAGATGGTTTGGCGACGAATTATCAATGTCGAACTTAATTTCCATCATTATTTATGACATCAAAATATTCTTAGGCTTTTTAGAGAGGGCATTATTAGAAAATTTTTCAATTAGCGATGATTTTGCGACAATTACTAAACTGAAGAGACTATTGTTTACTATGCTTTACCGATAAAAGTTTTATAAATTAGTGATGGATTAACCGTCACCGATCAACAACGAAAAAAAATTTTATGCTAAGAAAATAATAAGAATGACTTTTGCTATGTTGTTGCAAATCCATCATCAAGAATAACTAATGCAGGATTTTTACTATATAGCGATGAAAAAAATCTTTGGCTATTTTTCAGTTTTCTTTTATATATAATCTCATTCCATTTGTCAATTTCCAAACTTAATCACACTGGGCATGACTAGAACCTACTTACAACTTACCATTCAATTCAATTTTCTAATTCAATTCACTTGACGTGGAAGGAACACCAACCATTTGTATTTATTTATTATTTTTTACAGGATTCCCTTTTGATTTTAGCCTCCAGCATCAAACATATAAACGCCTACAAACGCAATCCATATTTGCCATCATTGTTTCTACAATATCAACCATCTACTACTCTTATTGATTAGCTAAGTAGCTAGCCAACCTATAACCAAAACTCTAGCCAACCAAAAACCGCATGGCATCCACTGATAAGCCTGACCCTGAGGCCATCAAGTCCGAGGCACTACCCCCACCTGCAGCTCCTCCTTGCCGTTCTTTCAACTGTTCTTACGTTGACGTTGCTCTCAGGGTCTTGTTATTTGCAGCCGCTGTGACTGCTGTCGTGGTCATGGTCACTGCAAAGCAAACCAAGGTTGTTCCTCTGCCTGGATCGTCTGTTACAGCTCCTGTCGAAGCCAAATTTAGTGACTCCCCAGCATTTATGTAAGTAGATTTCTTGCATATATTAAACTTGCTAAAAAAAAAATTTATTTGATAGCATGCTCTGAAAGTATTACTTAAAAACTCCATGAATCATTTTCAGCACAAACATAAAATTAAGATTTCACATGTAGTCAGTCCCGGTGGTCATTTTTTTTTTTTACAGGAATTAAGATTTTTGGTTTTTAAATATGGTTTATATTTATGTTATTGCCATGCATAAATCTTTAAATTATGACTGCTTATTGACATGGTCATACACTTTGGCAACATACTATTTTATAGTCGAAAACATCAACGACCTTAATTGCTTGATAATATCCACTTGAACTTTGAGATACAAACTCAGCAGAGGAGCTGTTCTGCCAACTCAATTTAGAGGGCATGGACCTACTAAATTAAAGAACGTAGACTAATTTGAAACCCACAAGTTAGATATATATATATATATATATATATATATTCGTGTCAGGGAAACAAGTACCATTATCCAAATATATATATATATATATATAGTTAAAATAATGAAGAAGGTTATGTATATTATGTTCTATCCGTTCGTTCATAGATGTGAGTGCGCGCTTAGTCCAAAAGGCTTCCAATAATTCATTGCCCACTTTAATTAAACTACTCGATATTTTGTACCTGTAAAGAAAGGCGGCTATTCTAATCTGAAACCATAGAGGAAAAAGCTTTTGCTTCTTTAATATTTTTTTTTTAATTCTCATAACTTTTTTCTCTTTTTGGAGAATCCTATGTCTTCTCGTTTTCAACTGTATGCATTTTTTTTTTGATAAAATTGTATGTATTATTAATAACTCATTAAAAATATTAGGATAAATATGAATGTATTCTAATGAATTTTACACGGATGAAATAAATGACGTAAAAGTTATATAATAATATAATATTATTACTCGTCATTGAATCTATATATTTCTGTAAAATTCGTTTTTTTTTCTCTTTCATGTAGCATTATCCGTGTTAGAAAGAGATCTATTGTTGCCTCCCCAGAACCTAGCTATGATACTCTCACCTTTTTTTAAAAAAAAATTTTCATAAGTTAATTTAATTTAATGGTTCATGTGATCAAAAAATAAAGGTTCATAAAGGAGGTCTCTTTCTGATATATATATCTGTACCAAGTACCAAATATTTGTTACAGTTATTTATGATAAAAAAAAAAAAACTAATGTGTTTAATTTAGATGAGCTTCTAATTTCATGTTTCGAATTATAATATTCTAAAAAGAAAAATCATGTCTCCAAATTTTCTCAAAATAATTATTATGTCTCTAATTCACCATGCACACTAATATATTTCCACAAAATACTTTTGAGATTAATATTAATGCATCCAACATGGATAGAAATAAGACCGACTGCTTCTTTGCTTTAAAGGAACGACCCTGGTCCCACACGACCACGTTTGCTCGCTTATATTGGCAGACGACTTCGACTTGTACATCTATAGAATGCTATTCTGACGTCGTCGTTTGAATTTTGGTCAAATGTTGAATGTTTCCGTTTTCACACCTTGATTTTCTGAATAATAAATAATACTAATAATAAGAAGTTGGTGAACGACCTCACCTACTTAAATTAAGTTTTACTATATAATTAGTATTAATCACATTTGGGTAAAGCCAGGATTTGGATATAGTACTGCTGTACCAGAAAACTAATTTAATGCTCACGGAAGCTAATTTTAATTACTGTAGCTGATGACTTCATCTTTTCTTGTCAATTTTTTTCTTCAAATATGGGATTTTTGAAACATATATGGTATAATTAAAATGGATAAAATTTTCAGCAATCTAAATTAATATACGCGTACTTTTGTGCAGATACTTTGTCACGGCATTAAGCGTTGCTGGCTTGTATAGTATCCTTACAACCCTTGCATCTGTTTCAATCATCTTGAAGCCAGCTTATGCAACAAAGTTCTTGCTCCATTTTGTTTTTTCGGACGTGGTAAGCTTCTCGTCTTCCTTAACGCAGTTCCTAGTCTCTCACTTTCATAGGATTAATTAACAATATTGTTTATGATGCAGCTGATGTTGGGAATAGTAGCCTCGGCAACTGGTACAGCAGGGGGCGTAGCATACGTGGGATTGAAGGGCAATAGTCATGTAAGATGGGGTAAGGTGTGCAATGTCTATGATAAATTCTGTCGACATCTTGGAAGCTCCATTGCCGTTGCATTGTTCGCTTCGGTTCTGCTTGTTTTGCTCACCATGCTCTCCGTCTTCTCCATCTACCGAAAGATCCCTAAGTAGAGCTCTGTGGAGGCCTATTTTGTAACCTCATCTTGCAGAGAAATTGTGTGTGTCTAGAAATTGTGGGTGGAATTAATGTTGAGCCTTAGTACTGTTTTGTTGTGTTGGATCATCAGTACATATATAGTTAAAGTTTCTTTTCTGTAAATTGTATGCTTGCGTAACATCTTTCTTAAATTTGAAATGTATTCGTTTGTAAGTTCTATTCAATGGATATCCATTTGTGCTACACTAAAGCTGTACTAGATATTTTGTATAAAGTATCATCATTCATTACAGATGCCACCATTTTTCTTTCTTCCACTAGTAACTTAGCCTTTGTGACGAGTATTCTAATAAGAAGTGTAATTGGGTATATTCGCATGTCCTGATGATTAAACAGGTTTCCTATGCATGTCTCTCAACCTGAAATTCTGTAGGTTTACCTGCTATACAGGGAATTTTATTTAAGGTAACCTGCTTTGACACAGTTAAATAATGGTAAAATGGAGGAAGCAAAATCAAAGACAAATGACTTGATGAAGAAACATCTTGCTGTTTGTGAATTGACTTTAGTTTTGCAAATGTAGATTCATGCCAATAGAATAATAATAAAACGGAAGACGATAAATGGAGCAGCAACTAGCTTTTAGGAATTCAACAGTCCGACAGAATATGCAGAACGGGCAAATCTAGTCATGGATCAGGAATCAAAACAACCTTCAAATGGTGTGCCTCACTTCAATTAACATATATGGATCAAGGAGCAACCAGTTATGAGTTGTGACCAGGTTTAGTGAAGCCCTTTTTCTGTTTTCTATTCTAGCTTCCCCTAGAATGAATCCAACAGATTTTTTAACAATGCCGTACAGCTACAGATCCAAAGTTGAATTATATTACCAGGATTCCTCCTATGTTAGAAAAGAACAAACATTCTGAGAAAAAATGTCTGCTTCATTAAAAAGTTAACTGCGATACTCAATGGAGGACACATCATAACTAAATCATACAAGGGAAACTTCTGTCAGATAAGAGCATATCACCTGAGCTTGTATAACCTATTTGAAGTCAAATGGTATATTGCACCATCGCATACCAAGCTACACATTCACTGTTCTTTTCTGATCCTTCTTATCTTTCTATATTACCGGGCATACATGTGCTGATGTCAATGGTCGTTAGAGGAAAGCAGAGGCCAGGAGGAGAGTCCATTAAATTATAACGTATGAAATAATACAGGGCTTGGACAGGCCACGCTTATACAGAATCTCAGCATTAACATTATCATAAGACTGTCTACGATGGCAAATCTATTACATAAGGTATTAACCAGTTCACGTCTCAACTGAGTTTCAAGACACCAAACACGCTTACCTTGGAAAGTTTTCAAACACTAGAACTCACAACTTTGGTAATCTTTACAAAAGAATTTTGCTTACAACTCACATTTCAAGCAATAGATAGATAAATGAGTTCAGAGTTTAGCAAATTGCATACATTTAAGCAGGCCGGGTTTCAAAACTGGTTAACTTGATTTAGCATTCAAATTTACAAACTTCTATCAGATTATAAGATTGCTTGTTCACCTAATTCCTGACCAACCATCCCTTCCCTAAGCACTCTTTCGAAGAACTCTTCCAGGGTGTCCTCCCCGTAACTAGGAGTTTTCTCAGAACTATATTCACCAGTCTCAGGATCCAAAACCAGCATACTCTCAGCTGCATAATACCTTCCAATTTTCCCAAACTCAGCTGCATCTTCCATCGAAGGGAAGATCTTGACGAGGAAATCAAGAACCCCTATGGCAAAATCCATTATCCCAATTGGTACTTTCAAGAAGTTCGGTTCCTTCCCCAACAATCTAAACAATATCTCCCCTTGCTCTAATGGTGTCAATGCCTTACCTGGTCCACCAATTGGCAAAATCTGATTAATTTTATTCTCACTCAACACACAATCTGCAATAAACGAAGCTAAATCAGCTTCGCTAATCGGTTTGCACGCACACAAATTTCCATCCCCAAACATCACATAAGGCTTCCCATCTTTAACCAACTCGACCTGACCCCCTAAACTCTTAAAGAATGCAGTTGGCCGCACAATACTATATGTGAAACCACTATCACCTTCAGCTTCTTTCATCAGCTCAGCCTCGAATTTAAGCTTCGCTCTCTGAAATTCAAGAAGAGGCTTTTGCACACAGATGGCAGAAAGCAACACAAAATGTTTAGCCCCAAATTTCTTTCCAGCAACAAGGCTATTCTTTGTTGCTTCATAGTCAATCTTCCATGAATCTTTAACACCACCAGTACGACTAGCAAGACATGAAATCACAACATCAACTGAAACATCTAAATCATTCAATGATTTTTCTAAAGTTTCCACCTTCGTAACATCAGAGAAATACACATTAGCTCCTTGTAACTGATTCAGAGCCTCTTCTTTACTATTTTTACCTCTAATCCCACTCTTCTCTCTAGCAATGGCTATAACATTAAAGCCTCTATCAACTAACTCTTTAACAACAAACTTTCCAATATATCCAGTTGAACCCACAACCAAAATGTTAATATCTTTCGGATTCTTGTTTCTAAATGAAGATTGAGTAGCTTCAACTCTTGTTGACGTTGAAACTTTAATGGGGTTGATTCTTTTTACACTAAACTTAAAGGGCGGTGATGAATTCAAAGGAAAAGATGGTAATAAATGTGAGAATGAATTTACCTGAATCTGATTGATGAATTGAGAAGAGAAATGAGCTTTGGGGCTTTGATACTTCCGTGAGTAGAGAGTGAACACATTGAAAGATAAACAAAGGGACATCTTTGTTTTCTGTTTCTTTTTTCTTCAAAAGAAAAAAAGTTCCTTTAGAGTATTGAAAGGACAATTAAAGAAGAGAAAGTGAAGGAAAATGTGAGGTAGGCAGTGTGGAAGAGTAAGCTTTCATGGTTGTTGCTCTAATCAAAGAAGAATCTAAAAATGATAAGTGGATAACTCTTCTGGGATTCTATTGGCAAAATTCGTAAACCGGCAGTTTGGGCCTTTTGTTCTCTTGTTTGTTGGAGAAGAGCGGGCCCAACTCTGAATGAAAAGAGCTTTATATCGATGGCTATGCTATACCCACTTTGCAATGGTCAAAAACTTTATACCATGAGATGACGAGCCTGGCTTACGACGAGCTTTAGAACACAAGTATGCTTTTGAGACTCGAACCTCCTGAAAACCGATGAACTAATAATTCAGAGCCTTTTTTTTTTTTTTTTTAAGTATTTGGCAGAATTTTTAAAGTTTTTAGAAGCCAAAAATCAAAGTTACATAGTAATTTTTTTTTTTGTAATATAAAAATATTTTAATAGTATATATTAATCGAAAAGTTAAATATAATTTCGTTTAGATTTTTTTTTTTTACACAAAACTATTTTTGGAAATTGAAACATATATACAAAGTTTTCAATAATATATTTTTGAAAATAGTTTTAGGTGTAAACTTTTATTTTTTTCAAAATTTAGTATCTAGTTTTTCAATTAAAGATAAAAATTTGATTGCCAATCTTAATAATTTAATGACATAATTTATCTCCAAACTATTATAATGGTAAAACAGTCCCTATATTATAAATTTAGCTATTTTGGACATCAAATTATTAATTTTTGTGAAAAATATATTCTTTTTCGTTATATAACGCTTTCAAAGTGTTGATTATGAACTAAAAAAATGCTTAAAACAATATTATTTTAAACATTTCAGTTTTCTTTTTTAGAATTAAAATTAATATTTTTAAAAAGTCATAGTTAATTTTTTAAAAAAGCTTAGATGATTTTGTTGTTTATGAATTTAATTTTTTTTTTGGATAATTAGATGTGTAAGAGATTAAAAAAAACTAAATTGTTATTTTTTCTTTTGAGAATTAAAATTAATTTCAAAAAAATTTAATTATAGTTAACTTTAAAGAAGTTTAGATGATTTTCTTATTTATAGATCTGACTTTTATTATTAGATAATTAATGACGTATAATGTATCTATCTAGTGAAAAGCCAAGTTATTATTATTTTTTTGAAATTAATTTTAATTATAAAGTAAAAATTAAAGTAATTAAATTGATATTGTTTTAACCGTTTTAGTTAATGATCAACACATTGATGGTTAAACATAATAGAAAAAGATAAAATTTACTCAAAAATTAATAATTTGAAATCCAAATAGTTAGACCTAATCTTAATAGTTTAATAAGGCCGAATCACATAATTTACTAAAAAAAATTGATACTTTGAAGATAAAATAGACTAAATTGATAGTACGGGTCTTGTTTTATCGTTACTTCAATAGTTTAGGTATAAAATATGGCATTAAATCGTGGAAACTGAAACAATAGACTGAGGAAGTAACTTGCCGTTGGCATTATAAAACGACTAATCTCATCCGTAACGTGATGTTGATCATTGACTTTTTGATGGATTGACTGAGAAATTTGAATCAGCTGCATCCAGCATCACCTTAAAACCTCCCACTTGCCCTCCATTGACGTGGCTGAAATCCAGCTGCGACACCTTTTTCTCCGAACTTTTTCGCACTTTCTTCGAAAAAAGAGAGAGGATCGTTTCATCTTCTAAAAATCATTCGATTCTCCTACTATCAAAGAAGTAATCAAAATGAAACAATCAGATAGAAATATACAACGCACCCTTCCATTCGATATTTCCCTCAAAATCGCATCATCTCTTCAGGTTCAAAGAAATTATTCAATTTCTTCTCTTGCTACTATAATGGTATAATGTAAAAATTGATGATATTCAATTTGTTTTTGTTTTTTCGAAGGTATTGGATTTGTGTTCATTGGGTAGTTGCTCTCAGTTTTGGAGGGACTTATGTGGGTCTGATTCTATATGGGAGTCACTTACTAAACAGAGATGGCCTTTGCCTCTTCATTCTTCTTCTTTGGAACCCAACACCAAGGTTTTATCGTTTTCTTTTTTCAATCAGTTTTACATGCATTTGTTGATATTCCTGTGCAAAATGAATCAAATCCATTTTTTATTTCTTCATTTCAGCTGTGTTATTCAATCTCACCAGTAAATTTTGTATTTTGAATCAGCTAATTTTGTTATTTATAGTGATATGTATTAAATGAATCATAACCCATTTTTTGTTATTTTCATTCTAGTTGTGTTAATGAATCTTTCGTTGATTTGTGTTTTTGAATCAATTGATTGTGATTTGTGTTAAAATTAAACAACCCCTTTCGTCAGTTTTAATCTTTATAGCTGTGCTGTTGAATAATGTTGATGGAATTTTGAATTATAGCTTCTAGGTGCTTTTAGTAATTGGTGAAAAGTAGTTTGCTTTTTCTTGATTTCATGGTTTCTATTATGACTGAACTCTTTCACTTTTATTTGTTTATTCCTTTCTTGCTGTTAATAGGTTATTTGATTTATTCTAAAATACTATATTTGTGAATCAAATGCCATAGAAGAAAGTGATTTGTTGTTGCAGCTTCTTTTATAGAAGGCTGATGTGGCTTTGTGATTGTGTATAAAATGTTACGAATAATTGCATACTTTGCTATTGTGAACTTGCTAATTTGAAAGTTTTGTGTGGAGTTAGGGGTGGAAGGAGATTTATATAAGAATGCATAGAGAGAAGGCGGGTAGAGCTGCCGAAGTGGTTGGGTTTGTGGAACAATGTTCTCTGTCCGAATCAATTGATGTTGCGGAATATCAACAAGCAATTGAAGATTTGAGTTCTATGCAGCTTTCTTTTGAAGATGTGCAGATGTTCCTTTTCAAACCAAAGTTTAATGTGCTACTTAACTTGGTTGGCTTGCACTACTGCATTTTCTGCCTTGAGATGCCGGTAAATCCCTCATGCACGCTATGTTCCATCTAATTTAGGGAATCAGCTGTTTCTTCAATTTAGAAGAAATCATGTGGCAGATGATATCAAATTTTAATACTTTGGTACGAAACATCGTTTGGTTCTCCTTACCATGAAAAATCATATTCAAGCAATCCCTCATAAATGCTTAGAAGAGCCTGTCTATAGTCCAAATTTTTTTAAAAATCTGTACAGCTCTGGGTCTTCAAGATAGAGCTGGTAGACAAGAAAATGATTCCTTTGCAGCTCAACAGTGAGCTTGCTCAAGTCAGTTCACCAGCCATGTAAGTCAATCTGCATTCTAGTTAGTTCCGAAACTTGATAGGGAGCTTAAATTTGAGCAACGGCTAGCACAGATCAATTAGGCTTTGCTTTGGATTAATGTTGTGGCTTTTCAAGAAATCTAGCCAAATAGAAGCTCAAAGAAAAAAAGAGCTCTCATTAAGACAGTAGTCAACATCAGCAGCAGAAGCAGGTCTGGATAACTAGTTATTGAAAAGATATATCCCTTCTGCATTAGAAGTGCTTTGCCTCGTATTCGTGTTTTGTTGGTACTCCAACCTTTGGATGGGCCTAGGCCTTTTCTAATCATATATGCTGTTTAAATGGATGCCTCTTTCTGATATTTCAGTATCATTATTGGCAGGCTGGCCAAGTTATGGACACACTGGTGGGTTGCAACATCTTAGAGCGTAAAGTGTGTGTTAGATGGTGGAAGCTAGGCAGATGGTTTTATGGCTTCCGCATGAGGGACGAATCTCATTCTCGTTGGGTTTCTTTAGAAGATCTTCTAACAGGAAAAGGGGAAGAGGTCTTGGGAGTCCTCCGCCGAGGTGCTGTTTATGAGGTGTTTCGTGTTGAGATCTCCATGTCAAATCCAACATCCACTTCCTGGTATTGTCAAAGCACTCAGGGACAAGATTAAGAACGCAGTACTGGTGGGGCTTATTGCATAATGTTTGTTCTTCCTTATTATAGTATCACACAATGTACAGAAGTAGAAGTTGCTCTTTGTGCTTTTCCTTGCTGAGATTTCTATTGCTAGTTCCACCTTCAACTCCTTGGTCTCACTGAAGCATGTTAGGAATGGTCTGTGGGATGCAGCAATGATCAGTTTATGTGCATAATGATTTTATGCTTGTATAGTTGATGAGGAATTGATGTTTTATGTAAATCCATATTTTTATTGACCTGTTTTTCCTGCTTTTGTGAGAAGGCAGGGGACAGAAGCTGAATTGTATATTTGACATGAAAACATTAACCCTAAACGAGTAATAAGTGTTATATATTTTCCTGTACTGTAATGTGTCCATATATATATATATATATATATATATATTTTAATTATGTGCTTAGCAACATGCTTCTATCATTAACCCTGCACAAAGTCATGTTCCTCAACAGAGGGTGCGTTTGAGAGCGTGGGTGATCTTTCGTGACAAAACAGGTATGGCCTGCTGTGTATTTTTTCAAGAGAGCTATAAATTATGCTCCTTTTAAGTTCTTCGTTGCAAACGCAACCAGCCATCCGAATCTAGCATGTGATATTTGTATCTCGGAACTTTTGGCATCCTCAACGTGTCAGTCTGGATTCCTCAAACTTCCATAGGAGAAATGAAAATGCAATCAAGAAGCGAACAATACTGCTGAAAGAGAAATGATAAATAACATGAAAAAACAATAAGAATACTTGAGAAATATTGCGAGCCAGATCCAATGATGAAACTCACTGAGAATTTCGTGTATTCTTGAAGTTATTTTCTTAATGTTTATCATCACTCTTGCTGAAATCATGTTGAGTAGAAATGGAAGAACTAATGATGAATGACAATAACATGTTTGTTATTAGCAAGACAAGAAAAAGAAAACATAATCTAAAGTTTCTAAAGTATGGTAAACCAACGGTCTTATTCACTAAGAGTATCTAATACATTTCCATGTTTCCAGCTCTTGTAAGCCGCTGCCAAACAAGAAATAATGGAATAGAGAGGAAAGCCAGATTGAAGGAGTCAACGACAACGATATATAGCATAAGGAGTTGGGTGAGGTCGACGGCTGAAGATGATCATGACGACAAGAGCTATGGTAATCACCAAGAAAACTTTCGTAGGATCTAAACCACCATCATCAGAATCGGAGCAGCAGACCTTCCCCATTGCAAACAGAGATTCTGTTGAATATTCTTGTTTTCTGAAAATCTTTGGATGGAGAGGGATGGATGGAAGGAATGAAATATAAGGTCCTCAAAGTTTATGGAGTATATAAGATGGAAAATTTGGCTCAAAAGTCAAGTTGACTTGGAATTTTTCACGTCTCAAGGTTTTTTTTTTTTTTAAAAAAAAACAATATTAAGTTTTTGAAAAAGATGCAATATTGGCCTCCCTTCTTGTTTATGGACTTTTTCTATGTTACCTCAGTGCAAGTAATTAACTAGAATATTCAGCAATTTGTGTTGATCATATATATATATATATGAGTGATGATAAACATGTTTTTTATGGTGCTATTGATGTCAAGTAAGACGCAGCACTGGTCTTGAAAGTTCTATAATTACCAAGCTAAACGGTCTAAAACTTTCATGAATTTTAAGTCATTTTCTGAAAATTAGTCTTTCAATTTTTTAATTTTGGATTAGATTTCTCTAACAATTTTTTATTTAAAATTAGATTATTTTATTAGATTTTCATTAATTCTAACATGCAAATATAATTTTTCAACAACTAAAAACTTACCAAAATTTATAAATATTTTTCTTTTCTCTTAAACGTGAAGAAGTTAACAATTAAAAATATTTTATAAAGAAAAAAAAGTTTTAGAGGAGAAAAACAATGTATCTATAAGTTTTAGTATTTTTTTTAGCTATCGATAAAATAAAAAAATCAACTACATACGAGTCATATGCACTTACATTATTAAAATTGAAGAAATTGAACAAAAAAATAATTTTAAATAAAAAATAATTAAAAAAAAAAGCCTCCAAATCAACAGTAGAAATTGAGAAACCGATCTTTAAATGATTTAAAAGTTTGGAAGAGATTCAGAACTTTTCGCGTAATTACTGCTGATTGAAGGCGGTGACTTCAAGCTTTGGAACGGTCAAAGACAACATGGGTTTTCTTTTTATTTAATTCGAGAATTCCATCAAACTTTACATGGTTTTTTTTTATATATATCTATTATTATTTACTTAGTATCAATGTTGGCGGTAGGTTAGGCGTAACAAAAGGCTAATTAACTTTAATTTCAGTGGATTGTATCTGCGTTAGTTTTGCTTCTTCTTCTTCTTCTTCTTTTTTTTTTTTTTAAGGATCGATCAGATAAATTACAAAGCGAAGTCATCATCAAGAGCTCAATATATATATATATATAAGAGCATTTGCCAAAACCTAGAAATCAAAACCCAAATTGTAGTTCGTTTTCTTCCTAAAACTTTTCACTTCCAAAATGCATTTCTAACTCTTTACATTCTTAAATAGCATTTCCTATGTTTTTTATCCACGTTACGCTACGGATAAAATAAAATATATAAAATTATTTTAATTTGATAGTGTGTTTTATGATGTGAATGTATGAAAATATATAAAATCAAAAGTGAAAAAAATATTTTATATTTTTTAATGTAATTTGAAATTAAATGAATGAGAATTTTTTTAAAACGACAAATTAAAGTAGTAAATTTTAAATAAGAAAAATAATCAACAAAAAACACTAAAATAAAATGTGATCAAATTACAATACCATTAAAGCTTGAAATTAAAAAAAATATATATTGTATAAAAAAAATTGAAGACCATATAATTTTAAGTTAATTGGATGAGAAAAGAATAAATAATATTAAAATAAATGGAAACTATCATTATATCTAATTTTAAATAATTGGATAAGAATTTAAAAAAAATGAAAAATTAAATCACAATAAAATTAATATAATTAGATATTCTCTCTCTCTCTCTCTCTCTCTCTCTCTCTCTCTCTCTCTCTCTATATATATATATATATATATATATATATATATATATATATATATAACTCAGTCAAAAAGTGAAAAAAAATTATTGTATGTATTAACTAACTCATGTAAAAAGTAAAAAAAATTATTATTATATATATATATATATATATATATATATATATATATATATATATATATAATTAATTGAGGGAGGCCAGTGTGGTTGGCTTGTGTAGGCGGACCGGCGCGTTTAGGCTCGCCATTGCGAGCTCGCGGGCTAGGCTTGCCTATCCGAAAAAAAAACTTTGTAACTTCCGACGAACCGAGTCATCGGAAGTTCGCTAGTAAATCGTGAGTCAACTTTCGGACCTCCGAAAATTGAATTTCGGTATCATTTTTCCCCCAACACCTCTAAACGATCATAATAAAGTCAATAAACACATCTAAAACCTTAAAAATCATTTTAATACACACAAAAATAAAAAAAATACAAAATCAAATCAGATTTTTTTTTCTTATTTTTGGCTCGATCTACCTCCTCTAATTGTTTAATGGCTTGAAACCACCATGGACAAACTCATCTTTAAAAAATAAACAAATCTAGTGGAATTTCACCGACCAAAGTGGCCTAAATAAGGTTGGCCGGTGATCTCTCTCTCCTCCCGTCTCTCTTTTCCTCTCGGTTTTCGTCTCCACCCAAAGACCAAAATGGATGAGCAAATGAACATGTAGATCGAAATGTGCTTTCAAAAATATTAGGGACTAAAGTGTAAAAAAAGTCATGAATAGTGAAACACATAGTGATATGTGAGAGGGTAAATAGGAAATTGTGAGAGCGTGAACAAGTACTTCAAACGAGTAATGCTACGATAATCGATGATTTTTCTTTAATTTTTTAGTTAATTTTCTCCTTATTATTATTATTAATGTAAAGAAAAAGGAGAATGACTGGCCTTTTTATAGAGGCAAAGCCAATGATTATAAATGAATAAATGTCACGCAATTTTAATTCAAATTTAACATCATATATATTCGGTTTTTTACCAATTGAATGAAATATTATGTTAGAATCAAGTTTTGGAACGATCAATTTAATAATCTTCACGGAATCAGATTTAATAATGGTTGTCTACTTGATATCTTCCTTCAATAAAATAAGAATTAAGTCTCAGTGAATTCTATAAAATTTTTAGTTATAATAATATAATAAAGAAAGGTTATGTTCAATTACATAATTCAAGTTTCATTAAAAATTCCAATAAAAAAAAATAAAAATAAATAGTTCAAGTATTTGCAATAGGTGCCTTTTTGTTATTAATGTTTTCATCCTTTAAAAATCCTTAACATCATTTTTCTAATCCGAATTATTAGAACCTGAATTCTACCTCAAATTTCTATGGAAGTAGAGTTGCAACTAAAAATGCGAAGAAACTAAAACCATGTTTAGGCCATAGGAATAACTAACAATGTATACTAATATTGAAAAGTTTTATTGATTTAAAAAAGAATTAATTATTAACTAATAAAAAAAATTGTTTCGAAACAGTATATAACTGTTGTGAAAAAAAAAAAAAACCGACTCAATCTTTTTTTCATCTTACAAACGTTACATGCCGTTTGTAATTGGTAGCTGTTATCCAACGAGGAAAAAAAAAAGTTCTATACTATACAATATTGTCTATAAATAGCATTGTTTTCTTGACAAAATGTGGTAAGAAAAAAATACACAGATCAGTACTTGTCAAAGATAGTTTTTTTAATCTATCACAGGTTCATGGATTTTTGAGTTACACAATTGGAGATAATCATCTTTTATTACATAATTACTAAAAATATTTAAGAGTTATTAGAACTCAAACCTTGTTTCATTAGAAAAGTGAAGTAAATACACAACTGCTAGGTTAAGTCTATTTTATAAACAACAACCCTTTTTTGTTTTGTTTTGTCTTCTTTATACTTAACATTAAAAAACC